TGCTTTTCTCCGATATGTACATGTTTAGATGTTAAATAGTTTTTTTTGTAGAATTTGAATCCAAGAACAGGTAAAAATAATTCTCAGAATTATTCCACGCTATAAAACTTTTTTAGTCATCTAATATATACTTAAAAGTGTTCCGCCTTTGATAAACAATCAAACAGTTTATACGATTTTCAGTCGAATTTTTTCTTAAGTCAGGAAAATAAGAAATAGTAATTCACGATTCAGCTTTAATTCAGAATATTATTAAATGTATTAGAGCTAATATTACTTTTCTAACTCAACTATATTTTTACTAACTGTTTGTTTCTTACAGCAGTGTAAATCGATATATTTTAGATATTCTAAAGAACAGTTCATTCTTCAACGAACCAGAATAAACGAAAACGAAAATGTTTCCAGACCAAAGAAATAATTCGAATGTTGTCCCGAGTTACTTCTTTCAACTCGAAATCGGTTGCTTAGGAAAAGAATTTTTCGTTAAACAATTTTGCTGCAAATAAAATGGATTATTGAATGGTTAAAAAGATATCCTGAGTTACGAAAAGTATAGATTTATTTGTGGAAAAAATGCGAATATAAGGTTTCTCTTGACTATTATTTAAATGGTTTATATATGAAAGCACGATACTGTTTTTTTTTTCAGTCGTTATGCAAGATGTTTTTTAAAAATAAATGTATTAAATAAGTAAAGAGATAAAATGCAGAACTTATAATTGGTTCTAATATTTTTCTATTGCTTCGAAAACACTTTTCCCTGCCTCATTACAGACGTTCCTGCAATTATTTAAAGTTAAAATAAAAACAATGGAATGTTATTACAGAATATCTTTGCTGTTATTTCTTATTCAGTTTCTGTTTCGAAAAAAGAAAAACAATTTTCTGTCTAGGATTTTTTTCTTCTTCATTGAAAATTTGAATAATTAACGAGTTTCAGAAAACTTACTTTGCTGAAATGATTAATTATAACAGTTAAATTAACTTTTAAATTTTGATTGCCTTTTAAAATAATTTATTTTCTTCCAGGATAATATATGAGCATATATAAATATATATATATATATATATATATATATATGTATATATATATAAACGAATTATTTTTAACATTAATTACAAACTATATGAATAAATAACTAAATATTCTCTTTTTAAAAATAATGATAAATAATGGCATAAAGAAACTATTCTAATTTATTAAAGCATCTCAAAATAATTTATCAAAAACGCAAAAATTAAGTTTCTACTATTCATTTTTGCTAAACAAAAGTATTTTTTTTACGAAAGAAAGGTTTTTTAAAAATGTTTTAAGAATATATTCATTTAGAAATGCAGTTCTTTTACCACATTTTATTTCTGCAAAAATTTTCTTTCTATCGAAAAATACTTCATGAAATTTCGAAAATGAATAAATAAATGTATTAAATATCTTCATTTAATATTATTTTTTATTCCGTTATTTATATTGCAATGGACGTAAGAATTTTGTAAATTTTTCACTCAGTCATTTTACGATAAAAATATTAATCTAGTTGTGGAAAGAATCTTAGTTTAAAAAGTGATGCAACGCATATCGAATGATATAAAGTTTAACGAGATAAGTCCTCTCTCTCTTATATTGCTTTCTTAAAAATATTATTGCTATTGATACATGAAAATTAGGTGCCTCAAAAGATTGAGGGTTTTGAGTTTTGATTTCAAAATGTTTAAACTAAAAAAAAGAAACAAGTAATATAAAAAAAACTTTTTAATTAATTCCTACTTAGGTCAAAAATGAAAATTTTATTTTTATTACTTTTTACTAAATACACTGCTGGCCACCGTAAATGTAACACCAAGAAAGACAAGAGATAGCACAACAAAATTTATTTTGTAGATAACATGTTGACCAAGTATCAAATGACTAAATTTATAGACTTCTGTGAAGAGTGGTTCCTGCCAGAATCAGTGGCCAGAGAAGCCGCTTTTGTTGGAGATCACCACTGCCACAAGCCTCGGCATTAAATAAAAGAGACTTTAGATGTGTTCTTGGGGTACAGCAGACCAAGCAGCTTCCACACGTTGTCAAAGTTGATCTGGTGTGGCAGCTGGGAGTGTAATATGGGTCAATCATTGAAAAACCATGGGCCACATGTTTTTATCGACAAAAGATCCGGAGAGCGAGCCGGCCAGGGAAGCAATTCAATCTGGTGATTGATGAAGAACCTTAGGACAATGCGTGCCACGTGTGGTCACGCATTATCCTGTTGAAATATGGCTGTGGCCAAGCCCTGAAGGTAAGGAAGGACAAATGGCTCCAACACCTCGGAGATGTAGCGCTGGCTGTTTAAAGTACCGGCAATGCGTACTATAGGAGGGCGAGAGTGATATTCAATACCGCCCTATACCATAATATTCGGTGCAAGACCAGTGTGGCGGTGCATAACGCAGCTGTTCAGGATCCTCTCTCCACGGTGTCTCCAGACTCGAATCCGACCTTCGTGGTGTTGCAGACAGATGCGCGACTCGTCAGTAAAGACAACTTCATTCCATTCTGCCGACCACAACATTCTTTCATCGCACCATTGGAGGTGGAGACGTCTGTGGTTCTGCGTCAAGGGTAAACCAAGCGGTGGGCGTCTTGCGAACCGGCCACTCTGCTGTAAACGGCGTCGAATGGTGCGCGCGGACACTGAATGATGCGTTACAGACTCCATGTGCTGTGCTACGGTTCGTGATGTGTCTGAGCGATCCGTCACTGACATGCGCACAATTTACCTGTCCTCACGTGAAGTGGTGCACTGAGGTGGATGCGATCGACCACGTCGGTCCGTCGTACCCTCCTGCATCCAACCGTCACATATCCGCATTACAGTTGTTTGGTTTCGTCCAACATGACTACCGAGTTCCCTGAAAGATAATCAACAATCTAGGTAGGCCACTATCCTTCCTCTGTCGAACTCGGATACTTGATCAAAAGCTGATCTCTGTTTTCTGCGAGACATAACTGATCGTTTTTTTGAAAAAAACCACAAGAAAAAAGCAATTGCTGAACTTGAAATCTTCGAAATCTCAAAGCCTTAAATAGCGCTTTGAGATGGCGCCACAGGCGCACGTGATGTCTAATAATTTGCATATCTCATTGCATATCTGCGCTGAAATTCTAATAATTTGCATATCTCATTTCTGCTAATGCATGTTGTAAATTTTATGTTATTTGCATGCATCCTTCAGGGTGTTGCATTTACGGTGACCAGCAGTGTAGTTACAATTAATATGTTTATATACACTGCTCAAAACAATTAGGGGAGCACATGATTTTAACAAAAGTAAGCAAAGATGTATACCAATAAGTAACATAAAATGAATCATCCATAATGTGAAGCCTACCAGGAAACGGAAGAAGAAAACTTTATATACAAATCAAAGTTCATGACGTCAAAAACCAGAAAAAGGAGATAAGGGCAGAAATCGGGATGTTGCAGAAACGTCTGTTTTATTGCCGTAACTGTGAGATTCGATTGCGCAGTATTTTTTTTTTGAGACAAGGTTACTTGAGAATGTCTCAACAACGTGATTTACCGGAATCCCCATGGCATGGTGTGTTATAGGCAGACTGGAATCCGTGCAAACACAACGTAGTGTCGCGGACGCTGTTGGAGTCGCCAGAAGTGTTGTTGCAAGGCTGTGGAATCGATTCCAAGAAACATGAAATGTTAGACGTCGACCAGGGGCAGGTCGGCCACGCACCACTACATCAACTGATGACCGGTATATACAGTTAACAGCCCGTCGAAACAGAACAGAGAATGCTACGCAGCTGCAAAGACAGTTGTTCTTGGCAACAGAACGAAGGGTGTCCAGCCAAACAGTACGTAATCGGGTTCATGAGGGAGGGCTCTATGCACGTAGGCCAATGGTCTGCATTCCGTTGACCCCCCGCCACCGTGGGGCCCGAAGAAGATGGGCTGCTGAACATCGAGATTGGGAGCAACATGATTGGAGCCAAGTGCTGTTTACAGACGAGTCCCAATTCAGTCTAGAGTGTGACACCCGACGTTTTCTTGTATGGAGGGACAGGGGTACTCGAAATAACCCGCATTCGTTCGTTAAAGGTCACAATACAGAAGAGCTGGTTGGATGGTATGGGGTGGAATCAGCATAGGTGGACGTACGGACCTGCATATCATTCGGAATGGCACTTTGACGGGCCGAAGGTATGCAGACGAGATACTCTGACCTCATGTCATCCCTTACACTGGAGCCATTGGAGATTCCTTTGTTTTCCAGGATGATAATGCCCGGCGGCATAGAGCTCGTCTGGTGGAGAACATGCTTGAAGCAGAAACAATACAGCGGATGGAATGGCCAGCGTGCTCTAGTGACCTGAATCCAATGGAGCATGTTTGGGACACGCTCGGACGACGCATTGCTGCGCGACCAAGGCCGCCTGCTACCGTCCGAGACTTGGAGATTGCACTTCTTGAGGAGTGGAACAGTATTCCCCAAAGTCTGATCGATAACCTCATCGCATCCATGGCAAACAGGTGTGCAGCAGTCTTAGCTGTTCGAGGAGACCACACGCCCTATTAAAACTCATGCATCATGTCTAAACAGTACCTTTTTTTATCGTTTACATGTAACCAAATTGTTGCCCTAAATCATCTTTTCATGTTTTTTCCATATTTTCAAAGAATTAAAGCTTAATTCCAAATTTTTTTACGCCTTTTTTCTGTATTGCGCATTGATACGCGTGTACTATGCATAGTATGCCAATACGTGTCTGTCTCACACGGTTTTCTTCACTTTTTTGCTTGCTCCCCTAATTGTTTTGAGCAGTGTATATACATATGACAGAATCATAATATTAAGTGGCGAAATAGAAAGCGATTTTCCTTTCTATACGTATGGTGTTGAACTATTTTTTTGCTTGTTTGTTTTTGTTACTCTATTTATTAATTAATTAAATTTAATTTATTCTAGTAAAACGGAAAACACATTTTCAGAAATTACTTCATCTCAAGCGGGATTCGAACCCACGGCCTTCAAAGTAGTAGTTCAACGCGTTATCCATTTTGCTATATGGCTACCGTGTATAAGTTTCCTTTCTCTGTATCTGTTGGACTATTATTTTTGCTACTTTTTATTCGTTAATTAAGTAGAATTAATGAATTAATATTTGAAAAAAAATGTATTGACATCAAGTGTCATTCACTACAAATTTTAAAAATGTATTTGAACTTGAGAGGATGAATAAAAAGTATTTTATTAACCTATATTGTGAAAATTTGAACAAGATATATATTATATATATATATATATATATAATATATATATAGGGAGAGTGTGGGAACTAATAGTAGGAATAGAAAAAACTTGAGTAGAATTATTACTGAATACTTACGAAGCCTCATTTAATAAAAAAATTAAGTGAATAAACATAGAAAGATACTTGAATACATACGAAAAGGGAGATGGAGAAGTAAACTGGTAAAATATTTTATACTAATAATTTTTTCTCTTATGTGTCTCTAAAAAATGAAAAAACAGATTCAATTATTATAACTAATGCTTTTTAGCGACAACCCATCAAAACTGACATATTTTTTCTACAAGTCTAGAAAATTGTCAAGATATATCTCCATTGGAGTGATGTGACATTCTGTGTAACAGTCCTATAAATATTAATAAAAAATATCGATAGAGTTTATTTTAAATAAATAAAAGTGTTGTAAAAATTTCAATAATATTTTCAGAGAAAAACCCATTACAAATGATAATTCCTGGTCTGAATTTACATTACCTTAATATTAAGAGATTCATGCGAAAGAGGGAAAGAATTAGTAATAATATGTTCTTAAATTGAACTATTAGTTGCAGAAAGTGGAAAGTTTTCAGTTGTATTTTGAATTAGATAAGAGAATTTAGTACTACTAAAATGAAAACAAATGAGTAATTCATGTCCTTAGAGTAAATTGTCTTAATTTGGTCTTAAAATTTATATTCAAATCATTAAGATATTATATACCAGTGAATTCCTACACTTGTAGGCGCAAAGCAGCCCAACATATGAATGAAAAATATTTAAATATATATAAATCCATCACAACTCTTAATAAAAAATTAAAAATTGAAATTATATGAATCTTATAATACTAAATCCCATTTCAAAATATCAATGGCGAATATAGAAGATAAAATTCCAACAATTTCAAACAAAATTAAAAATTATAAAATAAAAATTTTATAAAATATCCAAGTGCAACCTCGGACTTAGAAGGAAGGTTGGCACCATCAAACTAGTTTAACCCCACTTATCGGTCCTAAGTCCGAGGTTGCACTTGGTTATTTTATAAAATTTTTATTTTATAATTTTTTAATTTTGTTTGAAAACGTTGGAATTTTATCTTCTATATTCGCCATTGATATTTTGAAAGGGGATTTAGTATTATAAGATTCATATAATTTAAATTTTTTAATTGATTATTAAGTTGTGATTTTTATATATATATATATATATATATATATATATATATATATATGTATATATACCGTAAGAGCAAATAGTATATTAAAAATTTTGAAGATTTTTGTCTCTAGAAAGTACAACACGCTCGCTCTATTTTCAAAACTTTACATTGTAATAATTTTTCAATCATTTAAATTTAAATAAAAAAATCTAACCTCTAAAACTTTATTGCTAAAATTTTATGATATGTAACTACATTTTAATATTCTGTATACTAATAAGGGATTTTTAACTTGTGGATTAAATATTGAAATAATCAATGAAGGGTATTAAAATTTTATCTGTTAAAGTAATATATTTTTATTACAAAATTTTTATCCTACCACATACTGTTAAATAATTAACATTTGTTCCCCAGTACAATACAATTAAAATTTACTAACGTAATATGGGCTGAAAACAAAGTAGTGATATTTATATTCTGAAAGATGTCAAAAACTTATATAATCGTGCTAACTTACATCTGATTATTAATTTTATTATAAAATTATTATATTAAATTATTATATTTTTAGCATAAACTAAATCTTTAGCATATTACATTTTTAATACAATTTTCCCTATTTAGAATCTTGTTAACTTAAAAATATTTCAAGAAATAAAAAAGGAACCACATAAATTTTTTGAAAAATGTATTAAATTTTAATTATAACAAACACGACACTACTATTCTAAAAAACATAGAATTTATAATTTATCTCATATTAATTTGAGAAATATTTGATTAAAAGATATAATTGGACTACTAAACTAATAAATTCGCCATTAATTTAAAATACTTCCAAAAGTATCAAAGGCATTAATTTAAATCTGCTGAGTTGCGGAAACTACTCTTTACTTACTCCAAATATTTTTCTCGCAACTCAACTCCATTCCAAAAAGCAAACACTCCCTCCCTCATTCCATTGCCACATACACGCTCTCAGCATACATTTCTGCTTCATTTCACCTTTCTATTTAATTGAGAGCCATCTGTACAACTTCCACAGCTCGACGTACTTTTATTACATTAAACGATTTAATTTAATAGCTTCATATTCCTCTCCCCCATCTGTGGAGTTTTTATGTGTGCTCTGTGTGGTTTTTCCTTCTTCTTTCATCTCCAAATTACAGGAGTGGTGCGTTTCCCCAGAATGTGGCAAACGGGAAATCAGCATTTCCAGAACTCGAATTCGTAACTTCCCAGGAAACCTAATAAGATGATTAGCATTTCAAGGGCTGCGAGAGAAGGGTGCTGCGTTTTAGATGGTCTCCCCATTTCGTAAACATGAGATCGGCAGTTCAGCAGTTAGATGAGTACATAGCCTGGAGGCCAGTTGAGCTGCAAATTGTTTCAAATTGACTATTTGGGCCAGAGCTTTTAATTACATCTGACAACATACCACGACCTCATCAGCAACGCTGTCGTGCTCTGCGTCGACACATTCGTGTGTGGAATTGGGGGCTCTAGGGCATGGAGAGGACATGACAGTTAGGGAACACCTTGTGGTTTTCTCTCCCACCCTCTCGTTAGTGAGGACAATTATTGGATTTCTATAGACTCTCTATAGGAACGATGGTAATAGGAGTGATTGTGGCTCATACACATGTACCTGTTTAGAGTTGCCTTTTGTTGTTTTTATTGTAAAAAATTAGTTTTTTTCTCTTTGTTTAAATGAATATAGAATGCCGTGATATTTTGCGTTCAACTTTGGAATGACATATAATAAATTTATTAGCTCTTTTCTACTATTTAAGAAAATCCGAAAGCTTTCAATTTTATATAAATGTTTTTTATTTCTAGTGGGCTGCGAATTGATCATTAATCATTGCAGACCGAGTACATCCCCCGGAAGTTGGTATCCCTTTTTAGTGCGGCACCCTATAGGCGGATACCAATCACCGTAGGTAATTTTGACACCCAGTTTCCTCCCTAGGAAGAGGCACCTGTGCTCGATGCGCACCTGTACTGGAATTTAATTTTGACGAGAGCATCCAGGCCAAACAGACACTCCAATGATCTTTTACATGCCTTGAAATCATACAACACGGCCGATGTCTATTTTCTGCATCATGAAAATCCACCAACTTGGGCCGTGGTCGAACCCGCAACCTTGGGTGCAGAAGGCCAGCGATAAACCAACCACGGCACCCAGCCGGCAATGAATGATTATATGAATGTTTCCCTGTAAAATATGCTACTGAACATCAACACAGTTTTTACAAGAAAAAAAAGTTTCATTCAGCTTTTCTTATCTAAAAAAGTTGTGCTGATAATCAAGTTTGAAATGAAATTGGTGTTGGTTGTATCGGCCTTGAAAAATATATTTCAGTCATTTTTTTCTTATGCATTGCATGAATAAACAATTATTACCTTAAACTTAAGTAGTACTTTTTCATTATTTCAATAGCATTGTTTTAAATAGGAAAATAATTATTTCAGACATGGGTCCATAAGAAAAGGATATCTTATTTTGTGACGACTGATTGTTGAATGAATGGGTATTGGAAAATTTCCCTTTAGAAAGGAGGACTAGATAAGAATGACTGCTGGAAAAAAACTAATATCAAAGTAGCTATATACCATTTCACACACACATTATAAAAACAAATATTGGAAAGGACCTTTATAATTATGCAACGAATTTAAATTTAAAACATTTTGATTATTTACTTGAAACTAACACGATAAATTTTTTTATTAAAACAAGCTGTAGGTTTATATTGGTATTAAAATCGACCTCAAAGTGTGTAGCACGTGAAAAGTCATAAAAATGCTCTGGTAAGAAAAATAACTGAAAAAGCTAAAATGATCTTTTAAGAAGTAATGCTATAGAAATTAATAAGTTACTTTAAGTATCAGTTTTTAACTTAAGTATTAGTACTATATTGAAAATATACATATTATTATATATTAATATATAATAATAGAAATAAATTCTTGCAATTGATTTTTCTTAATATAAAAGATTTATTTCGAAATTAATATAAAATATAACTTAAGATTTTAAATAAAGTAAAATGAATTTCAGATATGAAAGTTACTCTTAAAAGTTTTTTTGTTCTGAATGGGCAGTTTTCAGAGTTTCTCTAAACAGTTTTCTTTAAAAAAAATTAGAACAGCATCAATATATCATTTTTATTAAACAAAATAATCAAACATTTACTATAATACAATTGTGTGAATTCGTGCACTATATAAAAATATCTTATTTTTGATTTTACACACATGCGTATCAGCCTTTATTCATTAAGATTTTCCAATTTCAAATGGAGAAAAAGAGTTCATAAGTTATTTTGTTACTTTCTAATAAAGGACTTTTCTTAAATGCAAATAAACATTTTCGTCTCATCTGTTTTTTTTTTTTATTTTGCCTTCTTTATATATTATTTTTTAATATAATAATTCATTCTTTATTATTATTTTCAGTTACTTTAATGTTTTAAATATTATTATTACTCTGTATGTCTTATATTTTTACTTCCTCCTTTTTCATTTTTTTTAATAAAGTGTCCGTTTGTATTATATTATTGGGAACAGTAAAACAAATCAATGCTTTTAATTTTATAGCTTCT